TGTTAGCATTCTAGGTTCCTAGTCCTGTATATTACTGTATACTAATTTTAACTATTTTTGCTTGTAGAAGGTTAAAACACAGTTTTAAAAGGTAGTGTTACCTTTTCTTACCTACACCGACCACACACAGTCCTCTTGCTTCAGCTTTCTGAATATTGGGATAAGAGGCACATCCATTATCGTTTAATTGAATAAAGGCTTTCTATATGAAATGTATAACATGATGCTTTGAAATTTGCATATATCTGAGAATGGCTCAACTGAGCTAAGTAATGCACTATCCCACAGATGTTTCTGTGTGTGTGGAAAGCACTTATCTATTTTTAGTGAGTTTTCAAAGATCCATGTGTGCTGTTATCAACTATAGTAACTTTGTTCAATGCATAGCATAGCTCTCGAGCATATTTATCCAAAATAAAATGTTGTCCTTTGAACACATTCCCTAACTCCTATTTTCACCCCTGGTACCATGTTGTCCTCTTTGGGTTCAGCACTTTAGACTTAACATAAAAGAGATCTGCCTGTGCCTGGCCTTTTTCACTCCCCACATTGTCTTTTGGTTTCATCCATGCTGTTGGAAATGTCAGAGTTACTTCTGTTTGAAGGCTGATAGCCTTCCAGATTTTATTTTTACCTCATTTTCTTTATCCACACATCTGTTGATTGAAACTTAAGTTGATTCTGTTTCTGGGATATTGTGACAAATGCTGCAATGGATATGCACTTGTAGATACTTCATCAGCATACTAATCTTATTTTTACAATTTGCACCCAGTGTGGGATTGCTGGGTTCTGAAATGGCTGTACTAGTTTACATTCCCACCAATGGCCTACAAAGTTTCCCACTCTCCCACGTCCTTGCCAGTGCATTATCTTTTGATAATCATATTCTAAGATCTGTGGTATCATTTCTCAATGTGCTTTGAATTTGTATTTCTTTGGTAATTGGTGATAGATGTGCGTTTTTTCATATACCCGATGGCTATTTGTGTGTTATCTCGTGAGGAATCTCCTTTATCTCTTTTGCCTGTTACGTATTTGGGTTGCTTATTTTCCTGCAGTTGAGTCGTTTGACTTCCCTGTATGCTTCATGTATTAGCTACTTATTAAGATATGTAGCTTACAGATATTACAGATACTTCCTCCCATCCCAGTTTTTTGTTTGTTTGCTTGCTTCTCTGTGGATGTGCATGGTTTTAGCCTACTGTCATTTCTATTTGTTTCTTTTCCCTTTCCTAGCTGTATGTTAGGCCACAAAATATTCATCTCCTATACCCATGTGAAGATGGGAGCACTCACTGGCCTGAGTGTGTTGTCTTGGGTATAGGGGAAGAGGGTAAGGAATTAGGAGAGGGATGTGGAATGGAGATCTGGAAGAAGCTGAGGGACAATGAGAGTGAATATGGTCAACACACACCATACAGATATATGGAATTCTCCGAGAATAGATACATAATAAAAATCATAACTTATTCCAATGTCAGGGAGATTTTTCTGTTTTCTTCTGGTACCTTTATAGCTTCTGGTCCTACACGTAAAACATTAATCCACTTAGAATTTCTGTATGCTACGAGACAGGTTCAGTTTCATTTTCCTGCACATAGATGCCCAATTTCCCAGCATCATATATTAAAGAAGCAATCTTATCACAATGTGTATTTTTGGCATGTTTGTTGAGGATCAATTGACTGTTAAAAGTGTTAGTTTATTTCATGGCTTTCTACCATATTCCATTGGCGTAAGTGTCTGTTTTTATGCGAGCCCCATGCTGTGTTAATTGCTATAGCTTTTTACATCTTGAAGTCAGGGATTCTGGTGTTCCCAGTAGTTTTATTCTTTTTAATGAAGATTTTTTTTTGATGTTGCACTAGGAATTTTAAGAATTCTTTTCTATTTTTGTGGAAAACAACATGATAATTTTGATACAGATTTTTATTGAATCTAAAGTTTACTTTGGGCAGTATGTGTATTCTAATAGCATGACTATGGACTTGGAAAATCTGATATTTTCTTTAGTTCCTTTCATTAATATTTTGTGGGTTTCATTGCATAAGTCTTTAGTGTGTATGTGTGTTATATAACTTAGGTTTTTTAAGATCCTTTATCAATGAGATTGGTTTCATGATTCCTTTTTTAGATAACTTGTTACTCATATTCAGAAATACTCAAGTAGGAACCTTAACACAATGGAGCATAAAGAATTAGAATTTCTCTAGGAATCATGTGGGAAACGACTAAAGCCCCCAGACAGAGCAGGATCTTATCTTCCAAGAAGAGAGCCCTCACCCCACCCCCCCACCCCTACCCCCTTCCCTGTTGGTCAACTCACAGCCATACTGGCATATGTGTATCTCCTGACTTTTGTTTTTCTGTCTTCTGTGAAACTATAATACCAATTCAGGCAAGGCAGAAAGAATCGAGGAGCTATCCTCCCCAAATACCAACAAACTGTAAATAACTTCATCATCTTTTATGAAGTTGTATTTCCTAACTTCTTTTGAAATATATGGAAACCAAGTTGAAGTTGGAGGGTTTGTGAGCCTAGGTGGCGCCCAGTAGCTATTCAAGTGTGAATGGGGACAAAAAAAAAAAAAAAAAAAAAAAAGTAAAAACTAGGATCACTTCACTTCACTACACTTTAAGAAATGAACTTAACCAAGTCAATATTTACAAACAACCAATAGATTGTCTTGGGGAGGTGTATTTTTATTTTATTCTTTTCATATGGTTTAAGGTTCGAAACCATCTTTAGACCAAATATATTATATCTGTACATAATTAGCATTAAAGTACTATGAAAAGATGGGATATTCTTAATGGAACCAATTGCTAGAGCCTGGCCTCCTGGTTGGATAGCAGAGGACATGTTTTATCCTTCCCAGTGACTGGTAAACATGTAGAATAGCTTTTCTGCACATTTGTACCTAGGGAATTCCTGAGACAAGCCCTTTCCCTTCATAGCCAGAGGAGCCATTCTCGGCAGCCAGTGGGCCCCTCAAACATCAGTGCATCCCCCAAACCAATGATATACTAGCTTGTGAACTGGCTGTGGCCATTTTCCTTTTCAAGCTAGTCTGAAATGCAATGTGCTTGGCCTGAAGAAGAAGAAGAAGAAAACTGAGGATTGAATGACATTTGGCAGGCATGCATCACGGATGATGTCAGTCTCTTGACGCAGGTCAAGTGAGGTCAGTTCGAAAGGGAAGGGGTAAAGAGAGTCACGAATCTGCTCATGCAGAACATTTCAAACTTCCTCAGCCGCGTTGCATCGTGGGCTCAACCGAGCAGCGTATTTGCTGAGGACTGTATAGATGCAGGGTTCCTTCGCCCTTCCCACCTTCCCAGCTTCAGCATAGTGTGCCAGGAGTGTGTGAGGTGAGGATGAGTCATGGAAGAGGGTTGATGAGAATGGTCTCTGACTGTAAGCATTGTTAGTTACGGAAAGGCAGGTCTGGGGCCGAGCTGTGGAGAAAGAACCAAGGCTTACTTTCCAATTTCCGTAGAATCTTTATTTGGCAATATATGTTTCCTTTCTCCTTCCATATGTCAAGAGGCCAAGGCACACCTTCATGAAGCTATTAGCCATCTGTCGAAAGTTCAAAATTGATGGCAAATTGAGAAAGCCAAATGGTATTTTGGCGGAAACGCGCCCTTTCTTAGGGTTCTAAGTACTCTATTGACACCTTTAATGATTAAAATTAACACCCTGACATGGGGGTACCGGCCTATAATCCTAGAACTGGGACTCAAAGGCAAGATAATTTCAAGGGCAGCATGGGCTACATGGAGAATTCCAGACCAGCCTTGGATATACAGTGAGAGACCTTGTTTCAAAAATAAATAAATAAGTCAACATAATGCATTGCAGTCTGAATACAGATATACGGTGTCCCTTGAATTAGGTAATTTAACGTGTGGCTAGTGAATCCTTAATTCCATTGCATTACATGAGAGAGTCATAAATTTCTGCCAGTTGTTTCAAAGTTTAATTGCCAGTACCATTCTTGCTTCTATGGGATAAATTCCAGCTTTAGGATCTTTATTTCCCTGACTACTTTTTTTTTGAGGGGGGGGGACTAAAGTTTTATAATGCCATGTCTCTATGGATCTATTATCTTTTATGGTATTGTTCCTTAATGTCATCAGGGCCACTCACTTATGAAATTCATACAAGTTAAGGTGGGATGGAATTTAACTTACTAAACCCTAAAGTCACAAAATGAAGAGTCTTCGTTAATGTTATTGGAGAATGGTAAATAGCTACAGTGCCTAGGTTGTATATGTACCCGTACTTGTCATAACAATCTTTCTGATTTAGAAAATACATCCCTTATTTTATATGAAAGTGATGACTGAGTTAGTTGTGTTAAGTCATCTTCCCCCAAATGAACTACAACAAATTTTAAAATGGGGACTGACTCCAAATACCACGTTCTTGCCATGCTAGCCTATCATTCTAATCTCTCAGAAGTAATTAATATATATGTAATATATATTGTATATCATATTGTATTGTATATATGATATACAATATATATATATATGTATATATATATATATACATATATATATATATATATTTGAGTTCATGGACCATTGCTAATAAAAAAACTCAGAATATTATCCCATTTTCACACTAGGCTCTTGGTCATGGTGTCATAACCAAAGTATCATTTCCCCTGTCCTCTTGGTTATGGTACCACCAATTCTAGCATTCAGTATGCCACTGAGAAAATGTGGAAAGACAGATAAAAGAAGGGGTTGGGGAAAATATATAAGCTTTATATCTGAGTACTTAGTGGCTTTTAAAGAAGTAAAAGGAAGGTATTGGGTTTATTTCTGCTTACTGGAGAAAGGGGGTCAGAAGTACCACTGGCTAAAGGGCAAGTAGACAATATCCACATGGTGATAATTACCAAATCAAATAAAGGAATAAGAGTTAGGAGTTGGGAGTTACTTCTCAATCTTCCTGGTCATTGTATCCTTCATAGAATGAAAATGTTCATTTTGGCTTTCAAGCTAGAGTTGTCATGCAAGAAGAATACACTAATTTCGTATTTTCTCATCTCCTTCTTTTGGGGATAAGCATTTGGGCTTTCTGCTGTTTATTATTTCAAAGGCATCTATATGCTAATACATTTTATGCTAATTATTTTCATGTTTGCCCCTCAGGTCATGCTTCGCATCACCCACCAGGGAGGATCATCTCTCATGAAAACTTTCAAATTTGATTTTGAAAATTTATTCAGAAAAATTTAAGCCATGCTTTTTCCCAACACAAGAAATAATATGCTCCAGAGAACCCTCTAATTCACAGAAAATGGACCTGGATGACATTTGGGTCCTCATACTACCACAGTCCTCTTGAGAAGGACAGCCAGGTACACAAAGCATTTAGCATTCTGACATTGAAGTGTTGGAAGGATGATTAAAATAAAAATCTAATAATGTGCTTTGAGGAATCTCTAAATGACTCTATGTGGTCCAGGAAGGAGGAAAGAGCTGTTATCTTTTCTCTACCATGACTGAGATGTGCTAGTGCTTCCCCTGCTCTAATACCACATTTTATTGTGTGCCATCTTCCTTCTGCGTTATTTCTAAACAGTTAATTGTGAGAGCGTTGATGCCTACAGTTGATTCTGTGCACACGGGAAGGACTAGGTAAAGAAAGAAAGAAACAAAGAAAGAAAGAAGGAAGGGAGAAAGGAGGGAGGGAGGGAGGGAAGGAAGGCAGTTAGACAGACAGGCAGGCAGGCAGACAGGAAGAAAGCAAGCAAACAAGAAAGAAAGAAGAAACTCATGCAATCAACTAGATTGATGTTTCTTCTAGCACTTTTATGATGGAGATTTTTCTCTACGAAGGTGTCATTTGTTTTAAGAGCAAATTGCTATTTGAAAAAAAAATGAATTAACCAATTAGCCTGTCTTTAAAACATTTTCCAGGGCATTCCTCTTTTGAAGATAAATAGGCTTGATATGTAATTCCTTGACAAAATGTATTGAAAGTAGACAATTTGGGATAGTGTTTCATAATCCTTCTTGGTAGGAAATTGGACTCCTTTTGTTTCCAAGCACTTGGGAGCGCCAGAATGTCCTATTACACTCCTCATATTGTTTTTAGTCCCTCTCTGTACTGAAGAAAGGCAATGAGCCTGAAATTCTACAGGGAGGGAGCCATCCTGCAGACTGAAGCTCATTCTGTGATCAGACTTTTCTTTACCTGTTCCTCTGTGCACCTTTCAGTAAGCTGGGCCTGAACACCTTTCTATGCTTTAAATGCTTCCATTGGTAGCCCTGACAGGTAACATCAGTTTGCCTGAAGTGCAGCACAGCTGTTGGAATACCTCCTACTGGCTGGCTCATTTTAATGGCTCTCGAGTTCCCAGACACCTTTGTCAGTAAGAAAGTATCTTTTTAGGCTTGGGGTGGGGAGGGGGCTGTGTGGGAATCCCTTTCTGTAAAGGGACCTGATACCTTTAGGAACCTCTCTTCAAATAGAAGGAGTTCAGAGAGAGGAAGCCAACAAAGGGCAGGTGAAGAGAGCTCCACGAACAACTTGCACCACACAGCCCAGGCAATGTTTTGACATTTTTAGCCATAATCTCTGTAAACAAGGTGGACCATTGCTGGGGATACGCGAGTCAATCAGCTAAAATAACTGTTTGTCCAGGAATGATAAAACAGTATTTTGTTGAAATCTGACAACGTATGGTGCATTTTGCTGCATTCAAAGACCTGCATTATTTTATGTGCATAACTCCAGTGACCAATCATTCTTGTCACTTTATTCTACTTACTTACCTGTGATAATAACAAAATAGCTTCACATTTACTCTTGAAAGTTGTGTCTCAAGAATTAGCCCTAATGCAGCTCCAGCTAAGAAGTACTTTCTCCTCATTTCCTTGATTTTTCTCAGCAAATAATTCAACAACAACCCAAATAAGAGCCACTGTCTGTGTGTCATTAGGCACCAGAATTTATCAGGTGCTTTGAAACTATGAACCGCACAACCTGATTGACAAGACTACTGTGAGTGGGTTGTGTTCTTTGTGAGCTGAGTTCAATGAGGGCAGGAAACATCTAGAGCTACAACCGTTGGCTATACTTGCTTGATGTGACGTGAAGTTTCAGGGACCCTGGCCTTCACTAGTCCAGAGCAGTAAAGTTGGCTCTGCAGCCCCCTGCCCCCTGTGTATGCAATGTGCAATGTGACTTGAGACTTCCTGGCTCTGCCCTGCCTCTGGAACACGAATTAAAGCTTAGAGCTTGGGAAGAAATAAACAAGTCTAGGTCTGAGTCCCAGCTTGAATATCTACACATTTTCAAATCTAGACAAATATCCTGAGATTCTTTGGCCCCATGCTCAAATTCAGTTTACTTAAATTGTCTTCGAAGACTGAATAGGAATAGGACGATGTATGTTTTGAATGCTCCACATAGTATGTGTTGTCAACTAATGGACACTACGATTAAATATCATCTTCTATTGCTATTTTAGTGTGACTGATTCTTGCTATTTTTACATTAATGATATTCAGAGGTAAAAAAAATTGAATGTTTTCCTGAATAACATACACAGTGCAGAGATGGATAGTAAATATCTTCTTTGACCAGTAAAATGATAAAAATAAAAATGTAGGAAACTTCATATGTTAAACATGACTTAGCGGAGCCTTATATCACAAAGGTCTTATATGACCTATAAACTTTATTAGTTTATTAAAGTTTTAGGATATTGTGTAAGGTGAAAATTTTAAAATTTTACCAAATTTTGTTGCTTATCTCTAACTAATACCAAATATTCAGGTGCTACTGAAAGAAAGGCAATTATAAGCAAGAACTTCTGTCCTTGCTGCCAAGAATCCAGATGTCCAACTAATGAGCTTGCTTCTTTGTTAAGGGTACTAGACATTATGCAAAGCCTCCTTGTGATCGGCTTCCTTCGTTGCTGGTTGTGATGGTCTGTGCATAACAGGGCTGTAGAACTGATCAGCATGAAGGCTGTCCACAGGAAAAGACAGCTTGCTGGTTGCAAGGCTCTAGTGAGCTGCCAAGATATCCCTGTGGGTCCAGAACATCTTAAGAAAGCATGCAGACAGGTCTCAGGGCCATTAAAAAGTTTAGCTCTGCTTCTAAACAAGAGTAAACAGGCTTGTGTTTGCTTCCCCACACAAAGAGAAGTCAGATGTTAATTAAAACTTTGGAGAGCTAGAAAGGATCGTGGCATTCTGTACTGAAAAGTCAGCTTTAACTTCTAATTGGATGCCAACAAAAAAGAAGAGAGGCAGAGAAAAAGACCCATAAATATGTTTGGTAACAAAGGTTCTTATTGTACACCGATCTCATTTAAACGGAGAAATCTTCATTTTTCTTTGTTTTGGAGAAGATTTTTAATGAGAGTAGACTCTTGAGTAGAGTACTATATTCAATGGATATTCCTATCCTTTGTTTAATCTCATTCTCTTCCCCTGAGTGTTCTGCTTCCCCATAACCACCCTCAAGAGATATGCTAGCAGAAAGCTGATGCTCGCATACTGTTGTACTTCCTGGCATTTCTTCTTAACCGTTTCCCTGGAGTAAAGTGAAGCATCACATAGGTTTCCCTGTACTTAGCATATAGTAGAAGTGAACTAAATAGCAGGTAGAAGGAAATAAGCAAACTAGAGTTACACTGACGGTTTCCCGCACTGCCCTTCTATTTTGTGAGCCGCAGAGGGAAGATCACGTCATTTCTCTTCAAATGGGCAAGCTGTGGAGTTTTTCATAGTCACAAGCCAGAGAACAAAATAAGAGAGGTTTTCATTTGTAGGATTGCCTTTCTCTTATCTTCTGGTCTTGTCTCCCAGACTGTCTGTCTGTCTCTAGAAAGCAAAGTCAATAAAAATGATTAGAGTTGGCATCTCACAAATGTACACCCTTAAAGCATGAAGCAGTGCTGTGCAGGAAATATTTTTCTGACCTTTTCAAATTGCATCCAACTGTCTTGGGAATTTCTCAGGGACTCGAGGTAATAAGGTTCAATCCGTTTTACTGTCTGCCTTCAAATTTAGTTCCTCCAGAGCTGGAACTTATCTATCTCTTGCATTCTGGTCCTGGCATCCAGTCAGAACAGAAACTTATGCATCTTTTTTCACTCCATCTTAGTTTTTTTTTTCTTTTCTTTTACCATGGTATGGAATCTGCAACCATGTCTGCTTTCCACTTACTATCCCTTTCAAAAACTAAGCGTTAGCCGGAGACGAATTTGATTATGTGGTCCTTTGAGAAGGTCTTGTTGAATTTAATTAGCTTTTAAATTTCATTCTCTCTTAAATCTCAGGTTTTTACCTGTGTGATTTGTTGCCTCAGTGGACTTTATAAAAAAAAAAAGCCTTCCACTTAACTACATTGAGGGCACTCTTTAAAAATAATACAAAAAAGGCAAAAACATGGGAGTTTCTTTTGTTCTGAATTGATTTTTGCCTTTCTTCTGTGAGGCCCAAATGGAATGGACAAGCTCTCCGGTAAGGAAGGGAATTATCCAAGTGTGACATGTTAAAAGGCAACTGACTGGCCCCTTTCTTCACTGTTCTGCTTGAAGGAGAACAGAAAACAGAAGTCGGAGACACATTTTCTTTTTGGACCTCTTGAAAGCTCTTGATGTCAAGAAGCCTTGACAGGAAGTTAAAGAGTTTCTGAGACTTTTCATAGTCATGACATCACATGCTGGATGTGACTCTGGTATGGTAGAATGTTCCAGATGCAGCAACGGTCCCTGTGGTACTTTCTGTAGAGAGTAGACTCTGGGCTGGAATGCCACACGGTCTGGAGAGCCCAGGGCTCATCCCTTTCTGATTTGGGAGGGGAGTTCATGGACAAACAGCCAGGAGGAGGAGGACACCTTTTTCAAGTTGCCCATCTTAGTGTCTCCTCTTTCATGTAGTTTGTTGCATTTGATCACATAATTTCTATGGCCTCGTAAAGCTGTGATAGTTCCAGACAACCCCATTTAGAAAGCAGGCTTTGGGAAGGGAGAGAAGGGATCTGTCTGTCTAAATTCACAGCAGTGGTTTTGTTCTTCAAAACCTAGACTACACATACTTACACCAAAGTTTATCAAGTTTATCATCCATAATATAGTGTTCCCTTCCACTTAAAACAGCACTTAATATATTTTTTTCAGTAAAATATAAAATGTTGTCTTCAGAGTGTACTTAAGTGCAAGCTGCTATTTTGTTCATCTTATTAGCGGCATTCAGTCCTGATGTCTTTTGATGACTGGACATGATTAGCTGGCACTTTGGTAGAGATGAAGTAGAATGACACCTTTTTAAATTTCACATTTGCCCACTGGTTGAAATAAGGTTGGTGTCTTATCACCAATTGAAGAGTAAAGGTTTTCACGTGCAATTAAAGTGGGTTGATTTCTGGAGGGGAGCGACAGTATACCCTGAAGAGTTGGGAGTGTGGGTGTACATGTCTCTGTGTATTTGTATGTGCAACTATGTGGGAGGCATACATACGACCCTAAAGTCAGGAATGGAAGGCAGCAACTACACAGCGCAGAGAGTCTGTTTTTGGCCCGTAGGTGCCTTTTTTTACTCCATTGGAAACTTGGCTGCATCTTGTCTATGAGAACACAAAGTCCATGTCACTGTATTTAGTGCTGCCTCCGTCTTGTTTCTAAGACACCATTTTTTTTCCCCCTGTCTTCAAGACCCATAAATACAATGAACTGCATAGACTTGCCCCTGAAATAGTAAAGTGTTTGGAATCTATCAGCTTTCAACCAGGGTGAATTCAAACCACTAGTTCCTCTACTTTTCTGGGTGTTCTTAGGAATGCTGGAAAATCAAAGGAACTTTCAGATGGACAGGCACATGGGGCCGGAGGGGGGGCAGGGAGGAAGAAGAAGCCTAAATTACAATGTCAAGGGCAGTGTTAGCTGTTTCTTAAAAGCTAAGTGTCAGGTGTGTTCAGAGGGAAGGAAGTGAGGCTTAGAGAATTTGCAACTGGATTTGTTTGGAAGAGGAAGGATTCCGAGAGGATGATTTGTGTGTGGGAAAGAACAAAAGTCACTGTTCTGAGCGGCATAATGGGGCTTCCATGCTTATCTGTCAGAGAATTGCCTTCAGTAAAGTTACTAGTTTTAATGGTGGCCAAGAGTTCTGACTGGTGGCTCATATTATCTTTACATACTTTCTTATTACTTTAGAACAATACAGGTGTGGGAAGAGAGTGATCACATGTCATCCTTACAGGGTCACATTCACCTTACCCATCTCTGTTTGTGTTAATATCCACTCATGATAAAGGGAAACATTTTGAAGTAAGAATGTGCTCAGGGGTTCTCTATCTATCTATCTATCTATCTATCTCTCTCTCTCTCTCTCTCTCTCTCTCTATCTATCTATCTATCTATCAATTGGGAACAACCTGCTTCTATTTGAATAATGTTTGTCTACTAGAATATCTAGGAATATTACATCCCTTCAACATACAGCCGAGAATTTGTTTTCTATTTGCCTCCAACATCTCTGTAACAAAAACAAACACTCTTGATTGCCAAGTCAGGCTTATTACTGGACTGTCTGCTCAATGAAGATACTGACATTCAGGGATTCAATTTTTCTCATATGGAAATGTCTAATATGCTTCCCAATGTGGCTCAGAGACAGGACTCCATTATTTATCAGGGTAAACTGGGGCTCTTTGGGTTACCAAGGCATCACTCAGGCTCGTAAGCCAGGGTGGGTACCTGGTCAGCACATCATGTGTTCCCAGACACATCAGATGTGGAACTGATTCAAACTTAATCAGAGTGGTAGGACCTTGAAGGCTTTCACTAACATTCACTACACACACATCCTTCCTAAAGAATACTTGGAAAATCCAGTCACCATTTCAGTGGAAACAAATACATGCCTTAAAAAAAAAAAAAAATGCCAGACAAATCTACATAGAAAGAAGCCAGCATGGTTTTAAATGCAAATGTAATTTCAAAGTGTCTCTCCCCTTCTGTGGCTTCCCGTTTATCTCTTCCCTTGGGTCTGAGGTCTCTTAAATATGTATGTAGTCTCCATCCAGTGTTCATGGAAGACTTTGCCCTTTGTACAAGATCCCCGTTGATTGCCACTATCAACCTTCTTGGAAAGACACTCAAAATAACATGAGCAAACAGGAATAAATGCCTGTCACACTCAGGTCTTCTTCAGCACTTTGCTTGCTGACAGCCTGGCCCCGTCTGTGTTTTCGGAGCTGTGCACCTGCCCATGTGCTGTGATCTGCTGGTAAGCTCTTCTTGCTGTCAGGCTGTAGCAGTATTTATTTTGCCTTAATTGGAACCCCACTGTCACCCTGTGGGATTCTCCCCCTTGGCAAGGCAATATATCCCTATAGACCTAGAGCACTAGTGCCCTGGTAGGTTGTAATATTATATTCAGCAATAGTAAAATTAGAACCAAAATTTAACCAGAACCTAGGTTAATGGAGTTTCTGGGTGTTTCTATCTTTGGTTTTTGTTTTGATATTATTAGGAACTCCAGATATTTCTTAATGTTTACCTCTGGGCTAAAGCAGCGCAGTGGGAGCTCAGGTTGAATACTGTCAGAGTTTCTTCTGCCTTGGCTTGGGTCAGGGTGAAGCATGAGAGTAACTGTCAGCATGTCCAGCCATCGCCCATACTAAACCAGTAAGCAATAAATACCAACGGCATGGCACACTATGTGGAAGTCACCCTTATACTTATTTACTTCCCCTCCCCTTTCCACTGGATGACAAGATGGCTGCGATGCCTTACTTCTGTTGAAATCACATTGGTTAAAGTTTACCACTCGGTCCTGTTGGTCTTAACTTCGGGTGTCAAAACAAGGTTTGTTGCCTGGGTCTCCGTGGACAGCCAGCCCATTGTGTGTTTTTGGTTTCAGCCTCTGCTTCTTCTCCTGTGCTAATTTTATTTTCATCATTAAAGTTCATGAAGACTTAATTATTAGCCCTCTAATTTTCCAGGAAAAAAAATGTTGATTTATTGAACTGGCTGCAGCAAAAGAAGATCAATCTGACAGTATAGGTTAATAGTAAGGAACAAAACGCATCCATAATTAGGAGAGAAAGGACTTTGCTTGTTCCTCCCAGTTTATAATAAAAAGCCCCTTGCCAAAGTGTCTTGGAAAATAATGCATTCAGACTGAGTCGAATTACCACCCAGCACATTCTATTTATCTGCAGCTTAAAAAGCAGCTGCGGTTTTTGTAAGAAGCGATGAATGTGGCATTCCTACTTAAAGGTAGAAGAAAAAGAACACCCCTTGTTTTGTAATAAGGGGATTTTCAATTTAAAAGAGAGAGTGAGCCTGTTGTGTGAAGTAGGGTTATTACAGCCACTGTATTCTATCTCACCCACCAGGAGGCTAATAATGAAGGGCCAGGGAAGGAGGCCAATGCTACAAGGGTTATCTCACAACCTCAGATGGTGGATAAGTCGAAGGAGGCAGAATCGCTTCTGGATGACATTCAGAAAGGCTGGAGTGATTATTTGGAAAAGAAAACCCTGCTTTTTCTTTCAAAGGTAAACAGTTCATTTCATCTATCAGTTGCATGTTTCAGTAAAAAAAATATGTATATATAAAGATATCCAGTCTGTCTTAAAAACACACACACTCTCTTTTTAGGTACATGAATATTATTGAGACCTGCCCTTCTAATGGTACGTCCTTAGAATCCTGCCTTAGACAAAGGATACACTCGGAGCCTTGCTGCACCTAAAACCACGTTTTGAAAGATCTGCCAAGTTCACTTTTAATCATGAGAAAGAAATTACCCACATGGAGACAGCAGAAAATGAGAAAGTAGAGCTCGTGCTGCGAATAATTCCAGAGAGTGCCAAGGGGCTAGTTGAGGAATGGCTTCATGAGGTGAATATCTTTAGCTTGTACTTAGGGTTTGGTTAGCGTATAATCATCTCTCTTTTAGGAGCGAATACGATCCTAAGTGTACTTCCATCCAAGAAATGCTCTGGGCATTTGTGAGATGTTGACAGATTTAATATCAGCCTCACCCTTGCTGTTATTTATGATGACTAATTCTACATTTATAAATATGCAGAGATCAATTTAGGTGGAAAGGCTCTCTGAGCCCATGTCTGTCACCAGCTGTCTGTCTTTATGTGCAGGTGTTGTGCTGTGTGGCTTGCCCAGTAATTTATGTCTCTGTGTATGTGTGCATTCCTCTTGTTGTCTCTGCTCTGTTGTGAATGTTTATTGGGAGAATTAGCCAAATGATAGGTTCCCAAAAAATGGGACCCAAGACTTCCATTTGAGTTTTGGAACAGGTTAAAAAAAAATATATATATATCACATCATTTTCAGTTTGTTCCAAGAGAGGGAGGGTGCCAATTGGGTAGGAGTCATTACGTGATGAAACAACCAGGATTCAAATTGCACATCACTTTCAGGGTCAAATTAGTTTGAAACTCCCTTCTCCTTTATGATGACTGTTTTAACCCCTTGATATTTATCTGTTTAAAACAAAAAAAAAGGCCCTGAATTCAACCCCAGTACACTGTAGCTCTTCTTTGTTTTATTTTTCTAAAGATCAGATCCAAGAAAACTAATACTTTACTATTTTAAGAGCATTATTACTCACTTGATTCTCCCCCAAACGTGTCATTTCTTTGTGGGGGCAAATTAATATTACATCAAGTCAGTAAACAAATAAGTGATAATGCTTCTTCCTTCTTTTAAGATTAATTTTGCTAGGAAATAGGAACGGGGACAGTCGAGGGTCTTTGTGAGTCACGGAGAAAGAATGCCACAAAACCCCCACGTTGGGTCTGTCTTTCATTTCCCACACAAGCAAGTTGCAGGATTGCCATGCCAACCTTAAGCAATTTTGGCTCCCAACAATCTTGTGCCCGGAGTCTTTCAAACTCCCCTTCAATCCTGGTCAAAGGGCCAAGGCAAAGACTTGTAGAAAGAATGCATTATCTGAGAAAATGCCAGGCAGCTTTCCCATTGGGATATGTACTTGGTGCCACAGTTAAGCATCACTGGGGTCCAAGATATGCGTGATCGCCTTTATGGAGTGTGGGGGCTCCCGATGAAAGGGAAAGCATGGAAGTGGCTAAGAAAAGAGGTCATTCCTCCAGGAGATTTCAAACAGAGCAAGGCAAGGCTCTTGGATACCATGTGTAAGGGAGGAAGAGGCGCAGTAGAGAAGGTGAGCCAGATGGGGGTGATTTGTCTTGGAGAGTGGAGTCACCTGGGAATGGAATGAGGCAGAGGAGATAGCCAGCTGGAGGAGGAGGTCGGGGTAAGGCAGAGAGGTAAAGGGGGCAGGTGAGCAGCTGTGTTTATTTTAATACATGTCATTTAACCCTCACCTAAAAACAAATTGGAGAGGTTTGGGAGTGCATTAATCTGGACCCAATTAGCATGTCTTTCTCCTTGGAAAAGTGCAACCTGAGATTAATGAATACTAACCAGAGTTTCAGATGCAGCACTTAAATCATTTGCATGTTCGTGCATGATAATTGAAGTTATGTATGCACTTCCTTTCATTTAACTATTTCCAGTCTCCTCGTGATTCATATAAACCAAAACCTCATTATAGTGATTTGTAGGTAGAAATTTGTAGGTAGCTTGCCTAGCATTTTACCCCTAGGGGAAAAAACTGAAGTGGTTGGGGTTTTGTGAATTTGAATTTGAGCAGCACGTTCTTTTTTTAAATGCAGAGGGTAGTTGATAATAGATAGGGTGGAATGCTGCTGCTTCTGGAGTTGGTAAATAGGCACCTCAGACATAAGTTTTGAAAGGCTAGAAAAATATGGAAAATTCCAATATCAAGCTTTCAGGTTTCGGTTCAGCCACACGTGTTTTTATAATGCTAGGAGCAAGGCCACTTAAATGCAGCATGAGAAATGTTCTTGGAGTTTGGACCTGTGTTGCTGAGATCACTGAGCAACTTCAGCACCAGCATTGCTTCTGGCTTAGTTAGAAACTTGTTTCCATAGAAAAGGGTGGGGATGCCCTCAACTTCTGTGAACGGCTACAGACAGGCAGGCTGAACTTGTGGACCCTTGATGCTATGGGTTTGATCCCTTCCCTCTCCTTCCTTCCTCCCTCCATCCCTTCCTCCTTCCTTCTTCCTTCCTTACCTTCCTCCCTCCTCCCCTTTCTTTCCTTCTTTTACTATTTGGATGTAGATGGCTTAATGATACCATAGCACACACAGGTCCTAATTAAGAGTCCCCCTTTCCCCGGGGTACCACATGAATTATCTGAACACAGACAGTGAGTGTGTAAGAAAGCATCCAATGGAAGAAAGTAGAAGCAGGAGGCTTGAAATAATTCTCCTGGCTTCAGTTTGCACAGGGATTTGTCTGTCTTCTGTCTCTCCTTATGTGTTTCTAAGTTCAATGTCCGAGTGATGAGCCTTTCTGCAGGCAGGAGTTCTTCCCAGCGCCCTTTGTTTTTGATGACATTCTATGGTTGAATGTTACCGAGTGTCTCCTGGTCTTGTTTGTGGTCCTTGTAGCTAAGAATGTCATTGAAGGATAAAATCTTGTTAATTTGTGACGTTCCCGTTTAAGTGTGCTTTGTGTCACTTACATGTAGCTTAAAATGTTCTCTAATGTAGCATGAAATGATTGGTTAGCTTGGAAATGGTTGTGAAGTCGTGTGAAGAAAATAAGTTTTGCATCCGACCAAGAGAAATTCACTCTAGTGCTTTATGGCTTTTTATTCCTATGTGATCGTAATAAAGTCTCATGTAGGGATGGAAGCCATGAAATACATTGTGAAAATTCATCAACTAAGAAGGGGCCGTCAGTATAGAGAACTGTAGCCTGTGGAACGTGCTGGAGACGTGAGCTAGTGGACAGCTCTACTGCCCTGTTGGTGTTCCTTGAGTGTCTTTATCCTTAGGCCTTGACAGCTGAGGAATGGAGGTTGCAAGAGTTCTTTCATCTTCCTGACCACTGCTTAACATGCACACTTGACTTCGCGCATTTCTGTCTATCATACATTTTCTCCTCCGTTTTCTACTAACGAACATGCTCTGGGAAAACATTAATAGCCCACCCACTTGTAGGCAGCGTTCAACCCTTCTGTGACTATTTTCCTGACAACTTTTGAGGGCTTTCTTCTGAAACAAAGAAGAAATAGACAAACCAGATTTGTCCTCTTGGAAATGTGGTCCAGATTTCTCTACTCCCAATCTCCAAAACAAGGTATACCTCAAATGGGCTAGCTCCATACCTAGATCCAAAATCCCATGAGAGCCGTCTTCCCTTTACAGGTGTGGTGTAGTGGAGCTGTGGAGAGGGGTTGGGCTCCAAGTCAGCTGTGTGACTGGGGCATGTGAATTAAACTGTGGGACTCTTCCCTTATCTTTAAAACAGGGGTGGGGGTGGTACCAACATTCTCATAAGAATTAAATGAAATGACAGACCTATACTTTGCCTAACAAAGTGTTTGCTTGAACTTGACTCTGTTTTTAAAAAGCTCATGAAATATTAGTTTTTCTCCCCTCCTCCCTCCTCCTGTTCCTTTCTCTCCCCTTCCTGCATCCCTTCCTTCTTCAGACGTTAGTCTATCTAGAACAACAGCCGAGGATCTAAGCCGGACCTTTGAGAAGGAAACGACTTCAAGGAAAGACGCCTTTCCATGTGGTTTCATTAATTTCTCCCCCCCCCCAGTTGTTTAAGATACACTGCAAAACCATATTCATCTTTTCTGCTCTCTGTGTACTTATTTTTGCTTGCACTGTATTGACGGTTGAATTACATATTCACTCTGGATTTTTAAAAGAGAATTCTAATAAAACATTATTTGTGTTATTACCCTTTGTCTCTCCGTTCCCTCTCTATAATGTCATAGTGCCCTGTGTTTTATACGGCTCTGGCAGCCGTTAAGAGGACAAAAAAAAAAAAAAAACTCTTCTCCTTACAAGGCACTCACTGATGGTGCCATGAGGACTGTGTCCCATCTTCCTCGTTGCCAGGGTAATTGTTAACTCTGATGATCACTTATCAAGTTATTTAGAATAAATAAAAATTAGAATTTGAAAGGCACCAAAGTCTGTAGAGTAATTGTGGGTAAGGAAAAGGACATGGAAAGAACACACATAATGAACTTTTAAAAATTGCACAGTACTGGAAGTATATTTCTGTCTAGACAGAATATAGTGAAAACCTGAGCTGCTGCTCTATTTGCATCTGGGTGTTTCTACTATCTTTGCGTTTTCCCTCTCACGACTGCCCTTACCTCAGTTCCTTTTAATGGCCCCAATGTTTATGAGGTGTCCAAACATTTGTAAAGCAGTGAATGGAAAAAGAAGAAACAAGGAACAAAGGAGGAAGAGAGGGAGAATCATAGGGGATTCAAGGAGTTAAAGGCTAAGTCACATGGGAAACATTTTGTTTAAGGAAGGAAGGAAAACATGTACACAGTTAAATACTGGCCTGCAAGAATGAAGAGAATTTAGAAGCTCTAGGCCTCCTAGGATAAATGCCACAGACAACTGATAGGGGGGGAAATCTGTGTTAGAAACTAGAGTAGCAGCCAAATTTCCGTAAGTCAGAGTGAAGGTTTTGAAATTCATTTGTTAAAACATATGTGACAAGATTTTACAAATGATTCTAGGAAATACAAAACATTCTACCCTAGAAAAGAGATTTACTTCTAAAACTCTTCACAAGTATTATGAGAAGTGGAGAACAGATTTGAATGGACACTGCTGGATTAATTAATCACTGCTGAGTCTCAGTGGGCTGCAATTAGCTATTACCCTGTGTGATAGACTGAGTCTAAGCTGCCAGAGTACCCATGAGTTTAAGGGTAACCATGTATTTGCATGTGTGCACGCGCGCGTGCGCGCGCGCGCGCACACACACACACACACACACACACACACACCATTCTTTTTTATGGGATTGCATCCAAACTAATATTCGGAGCAGTGAAGGCAGTTTATGAGAAAATGGTTGCTATTAAGGAGAGCTTCTCAGGGATACTGGCTGGTTGTGATTATGGATTGGCAATACATCTTAGAGAATATTCCTATGTAAGCGGTCCAAAGGGCAGAAGGTTGTAAGAGAAGTAATCTCGCTTAGTAATGAATGGATAAGCTTTATTTAGTAATGAATGGATAAGCTTCTCCATCAAGCCAGGGTCTCAGTAGCAGCAGGAAAAGCATCATGTGTCAGGATGGCATGAACAATTTACCTGTCCCTCCATGAGATGGTTCTGCTCATCGAAAACTTTACAAACAATTGCATGATGGTTAATGGAAAGTAGTATCTATGGATACTGGGTTTGGGCAGCTTAAGA